TAATTTAATAGCAAAGATACAATTTACAATTTTACCTAGAATGCATATGCTCGATTAGAATCTTGCAAGTTTTTGTATTATTAAAAATTGTAAAAGTTATTTTTAATTTGAATATTATTTATATTAAAAATATTAAAATAAAAAAATGTCATAAAAGATATAAAACTTTTGTTATCGGAAATCTCTTTACAACATCAGTCTATCAATATAACCAACTATGTAGTGGATATTCCCATTACAAGAATTTCATTCATAAAAACACTTTTTAAGATACAAAAGCACACATTGAAATACATACATATGTATGTGTATGCATTACCCCAACAAGCACAAAGTCAAAAATTTAAAAATACAAGTTATTTTTAAATCTTAAATTTAATTTAAACAAAAACTTTTGAAAATATTTTGTTTGTTTTTGTGAAGTTTATTTTGGATTGTATCGACTAGTAAATAGATTCGGAATAACAGAAATTAACTAATTGTTTGCTGGGTTGAGTCAACACTCACTCATACAAAGAAATACATTGGCAGGTTAGTTGAAAGAGATAACTTTTCATGGATTGCTGCAATCAATCTTTTGATATAAAAGTTTTTCATTTCGTCTTTCTTCCAGTTTTGTTTTCAATTTATGCTTGTAGCATGGAAAGACAACAACAAAAACAAACAAAATCATATAACGAACAATCATGTGAATACATCGCATACATTCAAATGTGTGTAATATGTATCTACATACTACATACATGTATCGCAAGGATGGATTTCTGCGGCCCGTCAATGAATTTCTTGTGACCCTTCAATAATTTCATCACAAAGGATATTTAATAATTAAAAAACACTAACATTAAAAACTCCTTTAATTGGAAAAATACATCCAGAGAGCATCTAGAATACAGAAAACATAACAATTCACTTTGTATTAAACGAAACGTAATACCCTGACCCAAAACACAGGGTCATTGTGTTCAAATCTATTGTTAATTCATATCACGAATATCGACCTCCGTAAGATCCGTCGAGTTGTTTTAAAAAAATTGAGCTTCTCTGGACAAGGCTAAACGTCTCATTTGTCATAGTCCTAGCTATGTGGACACAACTAGGACTACATATAAGAACTTGTCCCACATAAGCCACGCAAATGAACGTAAATTTGCATTTTTATTTTGAATCACCAATTTTGTTTATCAGTATATCCTTTGAGGCTATTAAACCTAACCTAATGCTGTCAGACTGGAGTGGACAACAAAATGCTGAATAATTGGCCATGAATACTCAGGCCATAAACGCGCTGGCGCCAGTATCGATTTCCCGAAAATTTTTTTGGTATTTCCTAAAGGTGCGGGTGGGAAAATTGTGATTCGCGCATTGAATCTGAATTTGTTGGCCAGAGCCTTCTGGCAATTCAGACAGACAAGAAATATCCCTAAAGTTATTATCGCTTAACAAGGCCGGACTTAACATACTTTATTTTACGTCATCATATCAATTCATTCTTGATATGACGATGTGAAGAATTCTTGAACAGATACATTGTAACTTCCCACCATTAGGGCTAATGGAATGAACATCTGGTCTGTTAATATAGAAATTCGACTAATGACTAAATTTCCTTTTCATGGCTGCGAGAAACAGGTTTACCATTAATAAAACGCAGCCTAAAGCTCACCACTTTCCTGAAGTCATCTACTTTCTTTGAAGACTTGGATCCATCCGTATCGATAGCGAGCGTGTTATTCTCAAATGATGACCATAACGTTGTCCATACAGTAAATTTTTGGACTGGGAGAAGGCCAATATTAAGGAGAATATAGTCAGCATTTGACAAAATGGACGCATTACCGATGTTACCAAGTGTCATCCGTAAGGTCGGCAATCAATGCAGCAGGGCAAGGTAAGTACAGAATGGCTTACACTGCATAAACTTTTTATTAATGCTTCAATAGATCGATATGTGAAGTGCCTTCCAACAAGCGAATGTTTCATACAATAGAACCCCCACTTTTTCTCTATAACATCCGTATAAATTTAAACAATGTCCGAATCTTTCGCACTGTCATGTACGGTTCAACGGTTTGTTTAAGTAATACAGCAAAATATTTATGTTATATAAAGTTTTGAACATCATAAAATCAAGTTCCATCAACAAATTTGGCCCTTAAAAACATTTGTATGGCCGCCTCTGCAGCTAGAGTTTTTACATTCTATATTAGATATATCCAATTTTCTTTTTAGTTAGCAATTACATTTTATGCAGACGTGCAACTTTTCCTTTGGTCAAATGAAAGAACAAAAACTTGGAAAAAAAAACTTCTAGAAACTAAAACAACCATTGATGACAATGTTTTAAAATTGAAGTCACCAAGAAACCATTTCTTTAACAGCTCAAACAAAAGCTAAACAGAACAATGGAAGGAAATCAAAAGTTAAAAGACTCATGGGGATAAATAACAATAATGGTTGTTAAGAATTTTTTAACACTGTTAGCATAACAAGCCCAAAAAAATACAAAAAAATAAGGTTGTATTACTTATATTACATTTACGTTCTGTCTCCAATAATATTTAACCACAGATTGGACAATAGTACTATAGAACTAAAACTTATTAATCTACAATTAAACATTTTAAAAACGCTACATGTGCCATAATAATATTAACCGCAAAAAGAAATGGAAGATATAGAAAAAAACTTGTAAAATATTTTCAGAGAATAGAAAAATGACCAACGATGGAGATAACAGACAAACTTTCGACTGAAGGGCCAAAGTGACCGTCAGGCTGACTCAATAACTTGTCGTTCAGATGGCCTAGCGAACAACGTTTAAATGAAAGACGTACAATAAAATAAAAAAGTGTTCAGCAGTTAAAAAATGTTTGAGTTGAATACAATTGTGGAATCGTATCATGGTCAATTGCTGCATTTATAGTTTAGACCATACAAATGGTACAAAGTCAACGTTCGCTCGTATCCACAGGAATTTTATATCCAACGAGAACACGAGTTCGTACTTGTGTGTAAGGAGTCAAATGTTTTATATTCCTGTATCATGCATACGGACTTCATATACATTCATTCATACATACTTACATACGAATATTTTATAAAGAAAATGGATTTTTAAGTTATTCCAAACAATTTTTTATTGCAGTTTTGACTTTACTCCTTTTTTGTACTTGTTGTTCCTTTTCTTTAGCTTTTTCACAGTTGCCTCAGTTTCATTTTTTTTGTGGCAAGTTTTGTGAAAAGTAAATACATACTTATAATAAACTTTTCATAAAGTAAAACATAGAAAATCCAAAGAGCCAAGTTGAGAAACATAAATAAAATACAAATAAATACTCCACAGACTACGAAGGACGAAGGATATTTGGTTAGGGAGAGTTGAAATTTATAAAAAACAAAAAAAAGGGAAAAGAAACTATAAAAACAGAAATCCACTTTGTTTATTATATTTTCAGGCATTATTATTATTGAAAAGTTTATGCAACAAGAGAAATTCTACAACTAAATAATAAATAAATGCAACATTTATGTAAAATTTTTTTAATAATAACGAAAATAAAATAGAACATAAACATGGATATTGAACATTATTCCATTATAATTTGAAATCTGAAAAAGATTGATTGACTTCTTCTTAACACAAAAAATGGAAGTTTTATTAAAATCACAAGAAATGAATAAAAAATAACATGAAATATATTTTATTGTAATTTCTACTTTAACTCTTTCACGCACAAAACTAAACCGCTGAAATTTTTATGGATATGACTTCACTAGACACTTTATTTTGACGTATATTGATCATTTTTGATGAAAAATGGTAAAAGTGTTATCGAAGGATATTATCCATTTTTGCATAAAAAGCTATCAAATTCTAAAAAATACCGTAGATTTCTTTAGAAATAACCATTTACTATAGCTCTAAACTCAAAATTACACTCTAAATCAAAAAAAATTAAAAAAAAATCTGAGACACCGGTGTCCCCTATACGTGAAAGAGTTTATTTATGAATGCAAATAGTTACTTGTTCCATGTAGACATTTTATCATATTAATGCATTTAATTGCGATTCTCAAAGCATTTTCCTAGACTAATAATCCACAAGGTCTGAGTTCTGTACCGATTGTTTTATACTTCACTTAAAAAACTCGTATTTAACACCCTTCGTAAAGCTCTTATACATATATTGTACATGTGTTACCGTTTTTACAATTGTTAGTATATATTTACTTAGATTTCATAGTCCTGGACAACAATATTTGTAGACCACGACTAGTGATGTCATTATTTTTATCATGAAAATACTATCAATGATCTGTTAGTGTTTATAGTCCGTGCATCCCAAGCGAGGATGTCAGCCCAATTCAATATGTCGACACCTCCAAACAAAACTATTCGAATACAAGCTAAACTTATTTTTACGCATATGTGTATCTTTATGCCATGTATATACAGTTTTCCTTTAATGGAAAACTATTATTCCAATGAGCAAATCACTAACTGTATTTAAACATTATTTGCCAACATTTACCTAGAAATGAGGAGTGTAAAAACAAAGGCAAATTCTATAGATTACAAAAAATACAGATATGTATATCCACTGAATATTATCCAATGGATAATGTTGCTTTTGTTACACTCACTTATGGAGATCGTTTTTTTGCTTTCTTTAAATATGCACATTTTTTCAACAATGTTACCAGAGTAAAAAAATCACTCCAAAAAACATATACGAAGAACTTGAAATGTTGGTGAAAAAATATATATAACCGTGTCATTAAAACCAAACCAAATGTTTACAGTATATAAGTCAGAGAACATAGTATAGCTTAGAGGCGTCGATCTTTCCAGAGAATTTAAGCCTTCTATTAAAAGGCATGTATATAGAATTGCAACCATACTATTAATTCAAGACTCAAGGCTGGTCGTTTTTTTAAATATATTTTTTATAACTTTTTACGCAAACGGCAAAATTTTAAGTAATTTTCCAACTTACCTCGACTTTTTGTAAAACTTTATCTAAACCGGTTACGGTTAAATCTTGTTCTTTCAAATCGTCCGATATGAGTGTGTCTGGTGTTACCTTAATTCCAGGCACGAATTTTAACGATAGATTATCGGTTAAACCAGTTGGTAAAGAAACCTTCATTAAGAAAATAAAAATATAGAACATTAGATTTAAAACAATTTATGCTACAATAGCTTTGATTGGTAATCAATTAAATAAGAAATTACCTCCAATTCAAAATGTATATCATTAGTTTTCACAATATTCAAGATCTCATTAAATGTGGTTTTTAATTCAATTTGACAGGCATAACGTCCCGATTCAGCCTCAAATACAGGTGCAATCTTATAATGCTCCAACAATTGTTGGCCCAAGGCTTGTTTAGATTTCAGCACACAAGAGAACAACTTAACGGGAATGTTTTCTAAAATACTAGAACATTTTGAAATGTTTTTAGCCACCTGTAATTAAAATAGTAAAATATGTAATAGTAATAAATAACTTGCAAAACTTTATTGAATTGAAATACTTTTGAAATACTCAAGAATGTACTAAATATGTAAGTTGTGAAAATACAGTGAAATAGTTTTTCAAAAGTCAAACTATTCAAACCAACTATTATGTGGCTTGATTCTTATTTATTGTACGAACAAAGTAAAATGATTATAAATCTTATAAATAAATCCTGCTGAATGCAATGAAAATTTTTCATTGACAGTAAAACTTACCAAATTTGTAAATTTATCCACTTGCAAATGATTGCGTACAACAAAATGTCCTCGATACAATGAACCACTAAAAATATCATATGACTTTGCAAATTGTATCTGAAAGAAGAAAAAAAATATGTATAAATATGTGGTACAAGTGGAGAATAAGAAAATAAAATTTATTTATGTGAAATACATTGTATAAAATTTTATGGATTTTTAAAGGGAAGTATTGACAAGAAACCACCAACTAGATAATTAATAAAGACTCAATTTGATGCGATTGCATCATGAGGGTGAATTCAATTTGATTCGATATTCTTTAAGAAAAGCTCATCACATAATTTATTAAATTGGACAACAAAAATTATAAAAAGTATTTAAAAACTAAATTTAAATATAAAATTTTTAAAACGATTTTTCTGTCCAAGTTATTCAATTGGTCCTGAATTGTAAATAAAGATGAAAGCAATAAGATTTGTTAAAACTAGTTTTTAGCTTCTAAAATTTAAAAAAAATCTCTCTTTTATTACTTTTGACACTAAGATCACATCCCCAATTACGTAAAATCTAATAAAAACGTTTAGTAGGAGAAATAGTACTTTAATCGAAATTGAGTACAAATAAAAACCAACAAATAAAAAAATGAAAAGAAAAATAAAAGTATAAAGAATGTTGAAATTGCAATAGTCTAACTTTTTGCATATCGACAAAAAAGCAGAAAAAAAGAAAAACAGAAGGAAAAAAATCCGATGCTAAACACTACATTGACTGTGAAGTACTACCATGGTAACAAAACTTGTAGTATTTATGAATTAAATATTTATTTTTAAATTGGCATATGATGAAGTTTAAGAACGCTATATCATTTAATAGAATTTGAAAAATAAGCCTAGCTAGTTAAAAGATATCGTGTTATGTTTATCAAAAGAAGCTAGGGTCCTGGTGAACTTGATTTACATCGGTTGTTAGACTTATTCTTAAGTATGTTTATATTGTTTGAGATGATGCTCAATAAAGCTCAAAGGTGTGACTTCTTGGGCATCAAAAGAGCGTCCTTCGGTATCATAATTTATCTGACCCCTATTGGGCATATGTAGCGAGAGTGGCATGACCGACGTGTGCAAGATGAATACATTGCAAATACAGATATAAAAAGATCTTAAATTCTTATGGACGATTGTTGTATATTTTATGCAGAGAGATCTGGAGAGCGAAGGAACTGATACGGGACCACATTGCTCATGGGTATGCGGTAACAATTTATGTTATTATGAGGCTGTTTACAATAAGGCTGTGTTAGATGTACAAGGTAAAGAGGTAGTTGACGAACTGGAAAGATAAGGTTCAAATCTTGACCCACATGAAAGGGATGGGTGGGTAAAAACAAATGGATGTAAAAACAAATGGATGTGTCACCTTTTTAAAGTGAAAGCAACCAGGACTAGATGTAGTCTTAATACTCGGACAGGGATTATAACTGTGCATTATTCTATTAGGGATTTCTACAAGTTTTGAAAAGATGTTGAGGAACTAGACATTTGATACAATGTTTCAGGGTGAAATTACTAAGTAGTAGGTTCCACAATGAATTAGGGGGCATTGCAGAATGTAACCCCAGGTTTATCAGGGGAATTAGCCGTTTCTTCTATTGCAGACTATAGTAAGGATTTTAATCATCTATCATAAATTTCTACTATAGGGATCAGAATTAATTTACTTTCAGGAACCAGTTTTTTTCCTTGGGCCTTAGTCTAATTTCAGTTGTTCTCTCGAAACTATGTTTATATTTCCTTATTTCCGTCATTTCGATCTTTAAAGTCGTACAAAATAGTAATCAAAAATCTAATAATAACAAAAATAATGGAACAATACAATTTAAAATTTACTTTAAAATAATCGAATTAATGCAAAACGAAATTGCCATTTGTTATAACGAAAAAAGTTTTTACATCCATAATAAATGTAGGTGCATATGTCCCTCTAAATTTATTTTCAAATACCACATCAATTTTGTTATTTAAGGTATTTGTATTTCTGAATTCTAAATACATTTTTGCTATTTATAACAATGTATGAATGTGCATAACAAAAACAAAAAAAAAAAAAAAACAAACTTACCACATCGGCATCACGAACTTCAACATCATATTTTATAAAATTGCCGCTTGCCTTATCGCCATTGGTAACTAGCACTTTTTCGCCCAATTTATAACGATTTCCAAGTACTCTGCCAACTCCTATAAAATGAAAGCGTTCAGAAGTGAATAGAAAAAAATTTAGTAAATGTAACAGGAACAAAAACAGCAGCAATAATAACATGGTTTACAAAAACAGTAAAAAAAAAGTAAAAATAAAATCACCATTTCAAATTTAGAATACAACAACAAATGTGAAAATAGAAGCAAATATATAAAGACTGCAAATACATTTTAAGAATTGTTCATTTAAAATTTGGTTGTACATCAAAACTTTCTATATTACGAATATAGTTCCTGCATAAAAAATTTATAATTTTCATCGAAGACTATGAGAGTCTAAATCTAAGATAGAGTGTATATGAAGTTCCTCAACAAAAAATGTTTAATTCTCATCGAAGTTGTGTAAAAATTTAGTCTGGCTATGAGCATAGTTTTTGAGTTAAAAAATTAAGGTTTCCGAAAAAAATCCATGGGAAACTGAAGCTTTTACTGAAATAATAAATTGTTTTAATCAGCTTAAAACTTCCACAAAAAGGCAAGATCATGTGGAACTAAAATGGAAGGTTTGCAGCTTATTTTTATCAGAATTTGGTGTTGATTTATTAAACTTAGTGTTTGATCTAGATATTAAGAAAGAAACTCCACATCCAGTTTACAATACAAAATTTAAGGCCCATCTCCCACCAAAGGAAAGTGGAAAGTGCCTAATGCAATGTTAAGAGTCGAATGGATAGACTCTCAACATTGCGTTCTCACGTCCAAACTTGCACCAATTCTAGAACTCTAATAATTCTGGAATTTTATATATTTTACAGATATAAAAAAATTTGTCCAATTCACAATCCGTGTCGAATTTCCTAAAAAAAAATCTTGTTAATTAGTCGTACAAATATGTTTCAAATGATTTACAATTTTTATATAATAACAGATTTGAAAAATAACTCTTTGTTATTTGGATTTCTAGAATAAGGGCCGGTTTTTATGGGAACAATGTTTTATGTGAATGAACAAAAAGGGAAAAGTTGTTTTATATTTGCATGTTGCATGTAGTACTCATACCACGTTGTACTTACTACATACATATTTCTATTGCCACTACCTCAAACATACAAGCAATGAGGAAAAAACTTGTTACATATATTTTCGGAAGCCTAACTGGCAAGAAGGTAACAAACATGATGTGGGTTCGTTTGTTGGTTGCAAAAGGGGTTTAGAGGTGTGATATGATGGTACAGCATGGAAGTTTTTAATACATATTTGCCATTAGTTTGGTTGCATTGGATTTGTGGTAAATTTTGTATACAACTGCATACCTACTTGCAGCCAAAACTTACATGGATGCTACAACTACTTACTGCTACTTCTAATACTTTCATCAACTACTACCACACTACGTACACAAATCCACATTCAGTACCTTCATACATATTCATATTCAAAGTAGGTGCAGAAAGAGTTTATGGTTATAATAATGCAACAACAGCAATAACAAAAACAACAACTTAAATAATAATAAAAAATGGTCTGAACGTGTACGTGTGTTTTAAACACAACATTATTTGATGGGGGGCTTTCTGATGTTGCATCACCAGAATAAACTCATGTACTATAAAAAAATGGGTGAAAAAAGCACCATCCATCCAAGTTTACAAAGCGGTAAAGATGAAAAAAGTATTAAATGAAAAAGTTGGTAATTGGTTTTAGAATTAATAAGTACTTGTTGGCTGATTCTGATTCGGTTGTTATGTTGAACGAAATATTTATTAAATAGTAAGAAATAAAAGAATGAACATTTTAAGCGGTATTGATGAATATCGTTTGACCTACAATAGGGTCATGTTAGATTTACATACTTAGTATATTTATGTATAGTTGCCACATCGAATTCTATGATGGTAAATGCAGTATTGCATATGTATTTACACCTTGGGATTTTCGTTTTAGTATATCTACTAGAAATTAAAAAATGTTTGTTATTTTTTTATAAGTTCTATTCGAATTTTGTAAAACTTAATTTAACGACCGAAAATAAAAAGAGAAAATCTGAAATAATTACGTTAGATATTTTATATTTCTACATAAAAAAAACTTCCCACAGTAGGGTATCGTAGAAAAGAAAGAAAACCGAAGCTAATATTTGTACTATAAAAGTTAGTTGTTATATTTTCACATGCGTCTTTGTTTCAGAACCACTACCTAAATATGTAATAAGTATTACACAAAATACAAAACTATTATGTACTATTTGGCTTTTGAGTAAAGATTGCGTTTATTAAAATTAACATTTTTCAAAATTACCAGAAGATAAAAAGTTAAGCCAGTATACACCAGTCATGTTAATGTTAGTTTAAATTGAATATAATGGAAAGAGTGTAACATTTAGGTTTTTAGAACATAGAACAACATTACTTGGGAATATATAGCAATTCAGTTTAAATATAGATATCTACTAGGAAATTCGTGGCTTCTTAATCGCGAAACATATAAAAACTTAGGGTGTTATTGTGTAAATCTCTTCCCCTCACTTCACTTAGATTTTATATAAATTGTTTTGGTATTTTCAAAAATTTTTATGAAAATATTTTTAACTCAATGTGAAGTATTTTACAGAATAAGGGGTTAACCATTTCTGTAAAAATATACTTTTTATAGTACTACTAGCTATACCCAGTGTGCTTTGCTACCCTAAAAGGAATATGTATAAATAAATACCAGATTTATTATATGTTACATATAAAAGATGTCAAGCAAATTATTGCAAGTTCGCCAGTTTCTATCTATCGCCAATTTCTATCTATCTACAAAAAATTTTAATAATATAAGAGTTTCCAAGATGCACGAAATTTTGTATTTAATTCATATATGTGGTGCCAAGCCCCCCATTGAAAGTCCGCCCGTTATTCTTCACATGAATGTCAAAGTTCTTCATGTAAAATTTTAAGATTCTAGCTCTAATAGTTTCTCAGATATACGAATTTAATTCATGTGGGGGCTTCAAGCCCCCCGGATGAAAGTCCGCCCTTTTTCCTCCAAAATATTCAGATGATTATTAAAATAATTTGTTCAAAATTTGAAGAATCTAGTTCTATTAGTTTCCCAGTTAAACGAAATTTTGTATTTAATTCATATGGGAGGTACCAAGTAACCCATTGGAAGTCCGCCCGTTATATTTTAAATGTTCAGGTGAATGTCAAAGTTCTTCAAGTAAAATTTAATGATTCTAGCTCTAATTGTTTCTCAGATATACGAATTTTTCTATTTTATTCATATGGGGGCTCCAAGCCCCCCAGATGAAAGTCCGCTCTTTTTTCCTTAAAAATGTTCAGATGAATATTAAAGTTCTTCGTGCAAAATTTTAAGAATTTAGTTGTATTAGTTTCCCAGATAAACGAATTTTTGTTTTTAATTAATATGGGAGGTGCCGCTCCCCTCATGGGTAGTCCGCCAATTTTTTACCCAAAATGTTTATATGGATGTTAAAGTTCTTTGTGCAAAATTTTAAGAATTTAGTTCTATTAGTTTCCCAGATAAACGAATTTTTGTATTTAATTAATATGGGAGGTGCCGCTCCCCTCATGGGTAGTCCGCCAATTTATTACCCAAAATGTTTATATGGATGTTAAAGTTCTTCGTGCTAAATTTTAAGAATTTAGTTCTATTAGTTTCCCAGATAAACGAATTTTTGTATTTAATTTATATGGGAGGTACCACGCCCCCTAATGCTAGTCCGCCTACTTTTTGTCCTAAATGATCATATTGACACTAAAGTGGCTCCGACAAAATTTGAGGACTCTAACTGTTATATTATCTAAAATATACGGATTTTATATTTTTTTAATGTGGGCGTGGCTCATCGCCCACTTGAAATTTCGAAATAAAAAGTAGCCTATTACCTATTCCAGACATGCAGGAATATGCTGTGAAAATTTCAAGAAAATCGGTTCAGCCGTTTAGTAGTCTATAACGTTCAAACATACAAACATACAAACAAACACACATTCATTTTTATATATATAGATTAGTCTATAATTTAGTCTATTGACTAATGTATTATGCAGACAATGAAATAAACTGTTGAGTAGCTATTCCACTCTCCATTAGCATATTCATTATACCTGCACTGAAAACAATCCATATCTAATATATACAGAAAATGTCGTATATAATGCTTCGGACTACAACATTGTTTCGTAATATGTACGAAATACAAATTTTAGTATAATGCAAAATAATTTTAGAAAAAATTCGTTTGTTTTGCGAAATATTTTTTTAAATTATTTTTCCCAACGTTTAAGCATGGATCATTTTCAGTGTGATAAAATTATTATAGTCACTATATACTCCCACTATTTCTCCCTCTATACTCCCACAATTTCTCTCTCTATACTCCCACTATTTCTCCCTCAGTGTATTCTTAATATTATTCCTTCGACAATTAAAGCATCCTTCTGTAAATTGTGTAGTTCTCGCGGGTTGATAGAACTACATTACTATCATCGAAACACTTTAAATTATTAGAAATTAATTAAACACAAAGATTTACAGTCGATTTCAATTAATCCACTCAATAAGACCTTTGGCAAAATGTCAAATTTTTTATGTTTCAATTTTTTTCTATCTTTATGTCTACCACAACGATGTTATAAAGTCCTTTGGGGAATATTAAAACATATTATGCGTACGATGAAACAACGGCTTGCATAAATGATGTCCAACGTCCAAGAGTTACTTTCCGACAGTAAATAAAAATACGTACCCTACATACATACATACAAATGTATATATGTATCTATGGTTGTCTGTATGTGTCCGTTCTTTGTCAATGTGTTCGTGCTTATAAAAGTGTCATTTATGTATAATGAGCACTGAGGAATTTTTATTTCCATCATCATTATTACGGGAAAAAATTATGATAACCTGTCACACATGGCTAAAATACCACATTAATAACAAAAACACGAAATGAATGCAAAACTACATACTTCGACTGACAATGCTAGTGGCTGCTACTATGTATGTACTACTGTCATTGCCACTGTCACAACAGTAGAGCCGTCAACAAATGACTGACAAAAAATGTAACAACAATAACAATAGACAAATAAACCAAAAACCATTGTACAAAATAATAATTCTTTTGGGAGTTGATAATAAAGAATATAGTATGTATGTATGTAGATATGTACCTAGTGCACGAATATGATACATATTCTTCCAAAATATTCTGTCAGCAATATTAACACAATGGACAGAATAGTGAGAGTATGATTTCTTAAAAAAAGTAGAGAATTTTATAAAAAATTCTATATTAAGCAATGCTTATTGTATTCATTTCCTAAATCTTGGATATTCCCATTTAATTAATATTTTTGCAATAAGTAGTTGGAATGCTAACTTCTGAATGTTCTGAATTCTAAAATCAAGTGCGAATTCCAGTTTAATTGAAATAGAACATTGATTAATTCCAATTCAATATTGAACATCCTTAAGTATGCATTCGAGATAAAATCAAACACAAGTGGTTTGAACTGCTCCCGATTGTCTTAAATACGTATTCTTCATTTTTTAAGTCTGCTTGGTTTATTAATTCAAATTAGTTAGTTAGTTTGAAAGTTACATCAAACCCGAAGAAATACACATAGGCCACCATCGCTTTAGAACACTTACCATATAACAATGATATCATTATTTTAACAGATCTGCATATAATACAAAAAACTCAGGGGACTGTTAAACATATTTACAAAAACAACGAATATTATTTTGTCTATAACCGAAAATGTATTACATACTTATGTACATACACATATCATCGTTATACAATCAAAACATCACAAGTCCACTTTTATAGACTTTTATTAATTCGAAAGTCTCATTAATGTAGAATTGGAGTACTACAATCTTTGAAATTGAATTTTTGGATATACCAAAAGTACAGTGGTAACAGTTCTCATGTTTGATAAAGTTCATTTCGCATATTATATATATATTTCGCATATATATAAAACAAAATTCTGACTATGACCTCTGTCTATATATCTGCGTATGAAAAAGTTATATATTGAATTTGGTTTTCAAATCGAAATAATGTGGAAATTCAACTTTAAACTATCGTGTAAAACTTGTCACTATCACCTTTAATTCTCATTTAACATATTTGCAAACAGACAGCCACAAAAGTAAATAGGCTTTTTGTACTCACATTTATGTATGTATATTTACTGTCAATAATAGGAAAACCAGTGACACAAAAGTGTTAAAAGGTCATGAAGAACAAAAAAAGTTTTATGGACATATAATGCAATAAATTGTTCAGGGATTTATACAAGTCATTTCCACGGAAACAAGACGAATTACATAATACAATTAAAGATGAGCAAAAAAAAAAAAACAAAAGTTCGGCAAACTTATTAATATTTGCAGAAATTGTGAGTAAATTGCATCTGGTATTGTAACATAATGTTAATGATATTACTTTACTAATATGTTTAGTTTAATGAGGGTAATTAGAGCAAAAAAAACACACTTGGACCACCTCTGCATAAAATAAAGTAAACTCTTATTAATCTTAAACACAAATCATTTCATAATTGAGATAAATAATTTCTAAAGGTAATCATAATTTACCTCTAGACTATTACATTCGATAATTTCTAAAGGTAATCATGATTTACCTCTAGACTATTACATTCGATTTTAGAACATCGCTTGGCATTAATTTGAGATTGTATGTGTGGTTAATTTTAAATGCATAAGTTATATGTCTTGAGGTGTCAAATCACAAGATTTGTTCATAATCCATTGATAAATATTGATCACTAACTGTTTGACATATTTTGAAAATACATAAGTTATAGAAATTTATTAAAGCATTTCGTCACCTGAAATGCAAAAGGGCGTAACAACACTTTTCAAAATTTTACAGCAGAGATAAAAAACTGAATAAAACGAAAACTATAGTGATTATACCAATGATTTTTTTCACAATAGCATCTAACAACAATACATTTATTTTTTGACTAATAAATATTTTTACAGCTGTTTCTGTAAGTTGTGAGTGTTACCCTTTTTTTAAAACCAAAAGGGCCTAACAGCGGTTTAGTAAGTATAGCATATTTTATATTTGTCCCAAATACAAATATTGTTGCAAATGATATTAGCCATTCATAATTACATCAAACCTTCTGGAAAATATTTGATTGCTAGAAAGTACGTTTACTATGAAACGATCGTGAACAAATTCAACATAAGTCTTTTTTAGTGGCCAAGACTCATACTGTAAAGTACTGTTAAGATTAGTCCAAATTTGACTCTAAGATTAGTCCAATTTGACTATAACACACAAAACATTCTTAAAAATGCTACTTAAGCGATGAATCAACTGAAAAAGTATTGTTTATTATATGACCACTCTATCAAATTTAATGTGGATCATACCTCATTTGACCTCAACTCATATCACATTTAACATTTATAATTAACTTTCAAATATTTAAATCGTGATAAAGTGGAACTAAGACAGGTTTTATGTGAACTTAAATTCTCAAATTGTATGAATACCGGACCATAAAACTAGTAAAATTGATTGTATAAAATTATGTTAAGATAAATTCGAGATAAATGATTTGTTTTAAGAAATTCAAATCCTGTACAGTTCAGCGTATAATTGAACTAATCCCTCAAAGGAGGACCTCTTTTAAAAATCTCGTATTAATATGGATATTACGATAAAGTTCGATGTGTAAGTTTTATCAAGTTTTCTCAGAATGGATCCATTATTGGACTTATGCCATATATTAGACTTTATATTGAATAACAGTTAATGTTAAAGTGATTTTTGATATATTATATAAGATATAGATATAAATCTTAATATTTCAAAACAGTGAGATGTTAAGTATATCGGTGAACCTAATTTCTATAGAATCGGTCCATATCATATGGAAGCGCATACCCGAATATAGCTTTTTGAATTTCGTTAATAAAGTCGCAGTTTTTGACAATAGAGTTCTGAAAATGTATTTTTATGCTGTCATCATTTTCAATCAAAAGTAAATTTTAAAATTTTTTGTTGTTACACCTTTTTGCATTTTAGGCGACGATATGTAATTATAATTAAAATTGTTTATATTTAATGTAATTGTAAGTTGCTATTATTCAATTATTTGTGAATATAACTGATAAAAACCTATTTTATTTGAATTCAGCATAAAGTAGTAAAATTATATGTAATTGAAAATTGTAATTGGATAAATAGATAAAAATTAAAAGTAATTGTAATGTGCTATGCCGTATTACATACATACTACAAGAAATTATATTTGAAAAAAATCAAATTACAATTACATGAAACTGCTAATTGATCTACAATGTATTATTTAATGTTATCATTATTACACACAAAATCTACTATTTGTTAACACTAGTTGGGGACATCTACCCCAAAATTCAGGGAATTAAAAAAAATATCACATAAAAATATAAGAAAAAAAATAGTACAATCTGTTTTTGTAAAATTTATGTTTCAAATAAATTTTTTAACTCGAAACAATTGTATATTTTTTCTTTTGTTATTTCAGCAGCAATGTTTGTTCATTTTGCAACCAACCTTTTTATGGTTGCTTTTAATGTTTGTTATGGTGCAACGTTTAAGAGACAGAAAAAATGCCTGTTGAAGGATTTTTTTTCAGGGTCTTCTTCGATTTACTGATTAAAATGGTAGTAAAATTTCATGAAATGATTTACACCTGGATGCATTTTACTTAATTTTTGTCTTTCTTTTACATTTTCAGTTGCTTTGTGAGGTCTGTTAGATATTAGACTCAGAAGGGGTGTTATTTTTTTGTAAAATAATAATGAATAAAACAATGTTAAACAAGGTGTAAATAATTAGATGAAAATAATAATAAAAATTATTTTTTTTCAAGTACTTAGTTACTGTCATCATAGTGGAAGGTTCCATTATGTAGTGTAGTGTAGTCACACATTTAAAAATAAATTTTATAGCTGACAACAGAAAAGTGATGGAAATATATTAATCACTTCGTAAAGTGCATATGGGCACGAAAATGTCAAGCACGACTGAGAAAAGCTCTCCATTTTTTAAGATTATTTAACAAAAAATTGGTATATGATCTTCCATTGTACCAAAGTCGAAGGCTATTGAAAATATTTAAAAACGGTCCATTATTGCACCCAGCCTCCACATAACTGGACCACCAAATAGTGCTTTAGAGCTCGTAATTATGTTAAATATGCTGGTATTTGTACAAAATCGCAGATCCAAAATTTATATGAATCTTAATACATACTACTGCTGCCGATTTTTGCAACGACCCTACACGCTATACAAAGTCCCTCTTCAGCAAATTACTTTAACGTCCATAATTCACTTAAGAACACTAGTACATGATAAAATTCGACATAAATAAGCTATACATATATTTACGTATTTCCTACGAACGAATTTCATCATCATCATTTATTATCTGTAAATTGCTTCACTATTTAAACATTTTCTAAACTATTTTTTATTTAGAATTTTCAGCTTCTAAAACCATGATTGCAATATTACTATTGTATCACCTTAGTGACTTCGTGGAACTTACAACACTTTTCTCTCTTTTCCAATATGGCGAAATTAAAATAATTGGAAAATGATAAGTATTTTATGTACATTCACTATCAATGACACAAAAAAAACATTTACAATCTTAAACTCAAGGTATGTTAAATACCATTATTTGGTTAACGCGAAACAATAACGTATTTACTTGCATTTTAAACATTTAAATAACAATAAGAATAATGTAGTATTTACTAATAATCATAAAAATAACAAATACAATCTATACATACCTGTTTGTCTATCAATAGCGACAATTTGTTCATCAGAACTCATCCAAAACGATGACAATGGTAATGGAGAATCAAAGCATATAATGTCACCAACAGAGAAGATTGTCTGATATAAACAATAACACAATCAGCAGGAGTAGGAGGAGCAGTAGCAACCAATACAAAGACAACAGCAATCGAGGTGGAAAAGGATGAAGATGAAAATCCATTTACAAACAATAAAAACAACAGCGATGTCATTAAAAAGTAGAGTTGCCATTGAAAGTGAAACAACCATTTGAAGAGCAGCAATTTGAGCAGCATCAATAACAGCAGCAACATTATGAAATCAACATGTTGTTTGTTGGTTGGTCGGTTGGTGAGGTCGATTATTTGTTCAGTGTTCAATGGCATCATCATCGTCAACAACATTAGAATAGAAAACATTGATGGGAGACGAAAAAATGTAAAACAAGAGCATCGCATCATAAACAGCAGCAGCATGAGTTGTCGTTGTATTTACCACAGGATGCATTTTAGTGTCAATGTAGTAGTTGATGATGATAGTTTTTTTTTTTTTTTCGAAAAATGTTTGTATTTTCATTGTAACATTGCCAATGAGGATGACATCCACGACGATGATGGTAGTAGTTGTAATAGTAATTTGGATGATAATGACAATAGTTATGATTATGAAAATGTTAACACCAATTGAGAAGAAAGTAAACAGAAAAAAAGAAAGCAAAGAAAAAAATATTACAAGTTAGTTGACATTACTATAATCATGGCAGTAAATAATAACAAAAAATAAGTCAATAATTACAAAAAATAAGTGAAGATTGTATAGTGTAACAAGTGCTTCTATATTATATAATGTTTTTCATATTGTTTGATTTGAGTATATTTGGGATATAAGATATATTTGTATTAGATCGGCTCAGAAAAATGTTTCCCAAAATATTTTACATTTAGTGATGACCGTTCGTGAGATGGACCGATTTCAAAAGATCTCTTTTTAGTTATTTGGGAATCATTAATTTTAAGAGAACAAAAAAGCCATCATTATACTTGACAATACCAGTATTAAGCGTCTTTGATTTATAGATCCAATCATTTGATAACCCTGTAGCTCCCATGTATCCCACTAAAGTCAGAATGAAGTGCCGTACTTTTCGAATTATTGAGCAAGGTATCCATAATAAGATCAGCTAATCTAAGTGATACATTTGCTATGAAAGTCTTTTAACAACTGGTTCAAACATTTTATATCCCAATAGCACCAATATTTCAAAGTCAAACCAAATTGCCACAGAATTACTATGTAATATCTTTTGCGAAATTCACAGTAAAATAATACTTCACCACTTTGTTAGTCTGGCAGATGTTGTCATGGTACTTTCAGATCCCAGAGCAACCTCTTTTGTAACTTTTTTTATACACCCCTGCGAGGAGTGGTTTTGATAAGTCCTCGGACACGGTACAGTTAATTAAGTATCCTTAGAATGGAGAGAGAAAGTTTTATCCCTGCAGGAAGAATCCGTAATATATTCTGTCTCAAGCTGCACGTTTAGCAGAACAACGCGATCACCAGCGTCCTAGCAACACAGCTGATGAACGAATAGTATAGTTGACGGCAGAGATCAATAATATCGTGAATGTTAGCCCAACTCGACCAGTTTACTATTACTATTATAAATATATCTGGATCAACAAATAACATGCAATATACAGATGCCAGGAAATATACAGCTCAGTTGCATATTTCCTGGCTATGTGCCCTATTCCTTCACTCCTGCTGAAGTTGAAAACATTATCACCAACTCCAAACCATCAAAAGCTCATAACCCTGATTGCATCTCAATGCTAATATTAAAGAAACTTGGTAAAGTAACAATCGAATTTCTTACCCACCTTCTGGAACTCTCAATTCCCAAATTATTCCCATTCTAAAACCTGATTAACCCGCTACAAACGGAGAATTATACAGCCCGATTTCTCTTTTATCACCAGTAGTAAAGGTTTTAGAATCGCTACCATCTCTGAAAGAGCATTGCTTGCTAGCCAACACCAACATGGCTTCTGGGAATCTCATAATACCATGACAGGACTCAACTTGATAACTACTCGAATAGCTAACGGCCTCAATCAACAACGACCGTGTCAACGCACAATTGTTTCGATTCTGGACTTATCCAAATCTTTTGACACGGTCAATCATTCCATGCTGATAATGAAATCTCGAACTTGCAAATCAACAGTGTTACTATTCACTTAATGGACTAGGAAGTAAGGATGGAACTCATCATCTCAGTCGAAGGCAGACTACGGTTCAAAACCCGTAGTCTTCGACAACCTCCTTCACTTCTCTTCTCTTAGCATGCCACCTACATCAACCATAAAGTGAAATCCCGAAATGCCGAATATGGACCCCTTATCTCAGTGACATAATAATGCACTCTGAAACGCAAGATGGCAAACTTGGATCACCTACAATATTGAATATTTTCAGGGATCATCCATTCACAGCCAATCGGTTTGGTAGACGGCGGCAATACCAGGGTCGTCATACTGACTAGACAAGACAGTTTATATTCGAACGATGGTTGGTTATCGTGGTTGTTCACTTGGCGCGAACAATCAAGTAGTGTCGAAGGGACTCCGTTTTGACAAATTCAAACGATGACTCCGACTACGTCTGCGATACACATGACTTAAACATCTACGAGATTGATATAAAAAGTCACATCAACACCTGCATGACTTCACCTGTGCAAGTCTCTGAGAGACATATAGGTTGGTAAAAAAATAATGAACTAGGGTAGGAACTATTGTGGCCACGAATTTAATTTTAGTTATGGATAAAATAAGAAAAGTTTTGACACTAGGCTCGCCGCAAGGACGAGTTACACCGCAATGTCTGTGTACTAGGGTGATCTACTCGATTTTTCAACCGGTTTTAAAACCGGTTTTTTCTGCTTTACCAGTGTCGGTTTTTTCTTAATGTTGATTTTTCGAATATCGAATAACCCGGTTTTTTCACTTTTTAAAACCCGGTTTCGAATACTTTTATTTGCTTTGTATTCAAAGATTATTTAAATGAAATTTTTAAGTAAATAATAATACAGCCCGTCTAAATTTTAAAAATATTCGAGTCGAGGAACTAGAGTACATTTTCTACAGCTCTTTTGGTTAAACTTTTTTGATTTTCCTAATTAATTAAAAAAATTTATTTGTAAAATTGATAACTGTTTGATAAAATTTAGCAATCTTAAGATTATATTCCAATTACAATAATTAATTTACGGCTGAAATTTTATGGAAGAGTTGGAATGCCTATGCAAATTTCCTAAACAGGGCTTTTAAAATAAGCTAGGATTACATAGTACCTTATGTTTAACAGAAGTGTCCCACTTTTTTCCTAATTTTTTTATATTAAAGAAATAATGTAAATCAGACGACTAGATCTAAAGTTATAATCTTTTAAACTGTTAAAAATCATTTCGGGCCATGTTTTATTAATCAAATTTAAACATAGACATTAAGTTTTTCAAATTAAAATATATTTTTTTTAATTATAATGAAAAACCGGTTAACCGGTTTTTTCTGAATTTGAAAAATATCAACCGGTTTTTTTTAAATGTCAACTATTCGAACTATTCGAAAACCGGTTTTTGGAAAATGTCGAATAATCGATCACCCTACTGTGTACACAGTTTTTAAAAATCAGCTCTTATGCCCCTATAAGGGACTTTAAAGTTTAAAAGAAATATGACTTCAAAAGAAGAAGAACTTTTATATGAAAACCCTTAGTGTTTTTTATTATAATGTACATAATTATAAAAAAACAAGTAAGAAATTATAGTCGGGCGAGGCCGACCATATAATACCCTACACCTTTGACAAAAATATAATGTGATTTATTTGCCATAATAAAGCATTTAAATTGAATTTTACCTTGCCTCAGATATACATACTTAAGCCGTTTATTGTTAAATAAAATTGTGGACATTTAAGTGAAATTTTGATGGGGGCTTTTCATAGGGGCTAGGGTCATATGAGGACCTATTATTATGGAATTCGTGAGGGTCATCAAATCTTGTATAGAACTTGGTTTTTGCAGCTTTTTTTTCGAGATATGAGTATATTAAACATATGTAAACCATTTTCAACTGGCTTCGTTTACGGTACCATAAAAGATCATGTGCCAAATTTCATTGAATTATGTCCAAAATTGCGACCTGTAGTTTGATTACAAAGTTTAAAAGCCCTATTCGGGGGTTCAGTTGTATGGGGGCTAGGTGAAATAATGGACCGATGTTAACCATTTTCAATAGGCTTCGTCTACGGTACTATAAAAGATCATGTGCCAAATTTCATTGAATTATCTCCAAAATTGCGACTTGTAGTTTGATTACAAGGTTTACAAGCCCTATTGGAGGGTTCAGTTGTATGGGGGCTAGGTGAAATAATGGAACGATCTTAACCATTTTCAATAGGCTTCGTCCCAGGGACAATAGAAGATCATGTACCAAATTTCATTGAATTATCTTCAAAATTGCGACCTGTAGTTTGAGTTCAAGGTTTACATGGACGGACGGACGGACAGACGGACGGACAGACGGACATAGCTAAATCGACTCAGAAAATGATTCTGAACCAATTGGTATACTTTAAGGTGGATATAGGACCAATATTATTGTGCGTTACAAACATCATCAAAAACCCAATTACCCTCCCCACTGAAGTGGTGTAGGGTATAAAAACAGGAAAAATTCTCATAAATTTTGTTAATATCATTAAACCATAAGTTGTGCTAAAATTTCAATGTTTTTGGTCCTGTGTAGTAATATTATATTGTGAAACTATTTCATTAAAGTATCAAACGTTTAATGACATTTATATTTCCAATTATAATAAGTTATTGTTTTTAAGCACTGTTGTGGTCTTTTTATCTTAATAATAGACACTATTCGATATATTCAAATAGTTCATTATGGGCATTTCAAGCATCAGTATGTGAAATTTAAATAAAACAAAACTACTAAAGGACATGTTACGAAATCTATGCATGTTCTTACACCACTTGAATTTAATTTATAAAATTTACTAAACACATCACGTAAAAAGTTAAAGATTTAATCCTTTTAAATGGTATTTAAATGGATTAAAGTTGTTTACGTTGTTGTTACATCATTTCAGAATGTCAATAAAACAGAGTAAATAAATTGACAAACAAAAAAATAATGACCAATAAAAATACAAATAGAAAAAGAAGACAAAAAAAAGTAGTGTATCTATGAGAAAAATGTAGTGAATAGTAATAGTCACAGTAAAAATATAAACAACAGCAAAGTTGTGTTTGCAACTTGTATAGAAATTGTTGTCAACACAATTCTCATACACACAAACTCATACAGAACATTTCCCTTCTCGATGACAACAACGACAGAAGTAACAACAACAAAAGATGAAAATCAACATTTTAGTTAAAATGGTCCATCGCAAATCTATAAATGCATGAAATCCCAGGAATCAATTCGATTTCAAATTGCTGATATTAAATAAAGTTCTAAAATCTTTCTTAACCTACATTTACACATGACTTTGTGACAAATACAGTTATAAGAAGATATTAGTGAGAAGTTGAGTGCCCTTAAAGACGTTCGAATATTTTCGGTAGGCGATTCATTATTCGATGGATTTATACGTTCTTAGCGCTTCTGACAATAAAAAAAGGTTTCGGGTTTTCCATTGTTAAATACACATGTTTCGAACTGAGCGAAAAATTTAAATGGACAATTATTAAAAATTTGTTTAAATTTATCTGCTGGGTTATATATATGGAAGCATATTTAAGTATTTGTAGGGCAGAATATTGTAATAAAATATAACGATGACCCAAGTGAAAATGGGCTAAAAAATAAAGATTAGAATCTTAATAAGTTGTATTTTACGATTTGATTCCCACCTTATGTAAGAACATCTACCATTTTTTCTACAATTCAACACCATTAACACAGCGATTAGTACTAAATCAATATCGCTAATATACTACAAGACCGGCATAATCCAAAAAAAGTTATTTCGAAAAAAATTGCTTTAATGTTTAATGACCTTTTCTATTTTTGAAATAACTTTTAAACAAAATAAGGGATTCGAAAAATTAAAAAAGATTGAGATAGTAGAGGTTAACAAGTTTCGCACTAAATTGAAGTTTTTACGTTCACGCCGAAAGTAATAGACATATTTAATAAATCTATATGAAAGACTTCAATATGACGCATGTTTTGTAGCCCTTAGTTCAAAACACACGAATTTTGAATTATACCAGTCATGTAGTAAATGAGTGATATGTTAAAAGTGTATATACTATAACAAAAAATTGGTACACAAATTTTACTTGAGTCTAACTACTTTCAGAAGCACTACGCCAACTAAGTATTGTTACTTTTTTCCATAATAATTTCCCAGATATACACACATACTAATTTATTTCATATGTAATATGCCTCGCTTAAGGTATTTTCAGACTACAATACTGAGTATTAACACACTTCAAATTAAAAATATAATGAAAATAATTCGCATTTTCAAAAAATCAATCCGAAAAATACATTTTATGTTTACACTATAATATTTGTAATATTTTTTATCCAATTTTCAATTATTTATGCACTTTTCGTTCTTATTTTTAATGTATTTAACACTTTTTGTTTGTTTTTTATTGTATTTATAAAATACATACCGAATTCGTTTGAAAATAAAAAGTTTTTGAATTGTTTTAAAAAATTTATGAATACCGACAGTATGCCAAAAAAATCAGTAATATTTTTGAAAATCAAATTACAAATTATGAGGCCTGTCAAGAATTCCATTCCGATCGAAAGTGGAATTATAACTTGTAAATAAATCGATGAAAACTTAAAAAAAAATAATATCTTTAAACTATTGTCAATCCCACGTTGAAGAAGTGAAGTGGTTTCAACCTGAAAAAGTTGTCATTTTCCTTTTTTGAAGAAGAAAATTAGGAAAGATAATTCCACTTTCGATCGGAATGGAATACTGTGACAGGCCTGTATATTTAGACTAGTAAATTGTATTATGATACAAACATTTTTGACAAGTATTAATACTCAGTATTGTAGTCTGAAAATACCTTTAATAGTTCACCCAAACATTCATAGAAAATTATAGTTCTGTATCTGTTACAATTTCTTATAGAGTTTTTGAAGACCCCTAGCATTTTTTGGCGTATCAATGTGTAATTATATCCTAGCAGAGTTTTCGTAACATTTGGCTCTAAATGTTTATCAATTTGTGTTTAAAAAGCCCATGAGGAGTACTCAAAAAATATTGGACATATCTTCTATATTGGGATCTTATTTTATGTTTCCGATTCCATAAATATTTTCAACAAAACTACTTCCTTTTGCATTTTTATCAGCGATATTAAGGACCATTTAAAGCACTTCACTAATGATGATGATACGTAGAACAGAAACCATTTATGTGGCAGACCATAAAGTATGTAACAACTACACCAATAAAGACTAGAGCAACAATTACATAGAAATATTATGCAAGTCAAGTTGTTAGAGTCTACTAGATTTTACTTGTATATTTAGTAACAATTTTTTGTTGGTTTCCATTTCTTTTTAATTTTGCCAGAAACACGAGTAAAATTTTTAATTTAAATTCAAGATGCTTAAATTACATCTTGGATTTTGTTCTAAATTGTCTTTCTTCTTACCTTAGTAGGATAAATATGTTTAGATTCACCAACTGACAGTTTAATATAATCCTCAGCATGCTGAACTCCGGTAGCATCTTTTAAACTTATAGCAATCATGTTGCTCGTTTCACGTGGCAGATTTATCTGAAATGGCAAAACAAAACAAACATGTAGACCAAAATGAAATAAAACAAGTTAATATGATTTACTATAATTTAATGAAGATAAATAAAATATGTTGTCGATAGATAGATATGAATGTACATAGATGCTCAGATACATACATACATATGTATGCATTTACGTTGGTAGATACAACATTCATCTATGTTTGCAAGTAGTAATAACTACTATGTAAACTAAAAAAATCTTTGAAGATCTAAATAACATGTTGGATATACGGTATAAAGTCGGTCAAGGCTGAACATGTGATTAAGGATGCTGTCATGTGTATTAGTACTCTTTAATAGAAATATTTCAAAACTGCTAAAACACTATCATCATAAATATTTACCTGTGATACCGAGTGAGTAAATTATAAATATGTTTTATAGTTATAATATGTATGTATGTATGTAGTTAACTTAATTAAAATAAAATTTCTCCAAATGGAAAATCATTTATGTGGAAAAATTAAAATAGTTTCTTAATCAAACAATAATTATTTGCTTAAATAGAAAAAACAAAAAAATGTTCTTCCTTATTAAAATAAATCGAAAATAATTAAACATTTTACTGTATATATATATGGCATAAATTCTGACTTCAAGAAGTTAGGTTAAATGATAGCTATAGTGATCGAGTATTCAAATTTCAATCAAATAAATTTTTATATCCACCATCAAAAATGATAAAGAATATATTGATTTCATCATTAACACATTGGTCAAAGAGCATAGAATATATTCAGAATCCGAATGGATTCTACTCGAGCGAGTTTTAAAAATCTCCTACCATGCGCCGCAGGTGGTGATTAGGGAGTATTATTGTATTCCCCAGCGAACAAAATTGGCCATGAAGGTGTTCCGCTAAAACAAAAAACGATCAATGGAAATAACAAATAATATTAATGTTACGAGAACCCTGTATCGCAGGCAGGTGTTGATTTGTTCTTGAGTCATGTATCGCCGTTATCCTGTAATCGTAAGCAAAAATATATTACGCATGCGGGTTACTTGGCCTCCATTGGTAAAGATTAGTTGAAAAAGAAGGACGTACTCCGAGGTAGCTCTAAGCAACCTTAGCGTTAAAATGCAGGTAAGGATTCAGAATCTGAATCATTAGACGATAATAACATCACCATCATATCTTATAAAAACAAGGATGAAGTAGGGTGAATTTTGCAAGAGGTGAATAAAAGCATTGCAAGATATCGACCACCAAAAACGGCTACAACAGAGGAGGAAGTTGAGATCATTTTGAGCGAATCTCAAAAAGCTCCGAAATATATATCGAATTTTCTCACAATATCTGAGGCAAAGAATACAAGATCTAACAATGAGTTTAACGCTGAGAACAAACCATGAAGAAAAGCAGTCTTCCAATATACTGAGAAAGCCATACCTTTCTCAATTGTGCCTCCAGTCAGAATACTACGAGTGAAAGTGTTCTGAAAGCGAATACAACCTCGAAGAGCGCCTGAAAATCCTACCAAGAGCCATAACTGAATAGTCCTTCAGGCCACTCAGGAATAAACAAAAAAAATGCAAAATATGTTAAAACATTTTTATAATACTAAACAAACTAAGTGTCAAAAAGAAAATAAGCCGAAAACATTCGACTTACAAAAATGCATTACAGCATTAAATTTTCAAATTATTTACACTTTATGATTTTGTGAAAATAACTAAAATAAATAAACTTAAACACCAAGAAATACAATTTAAAAGTAGCTTACAACATTGTAGTCTTCTATTTTTGTATACGTACAAAAGTAGTTCAAAATCAGATTTAAAAAATATTACAAACAAGATTACCAACGAAATAAACCTTCTTTCTATTCCTTGTATAAAAATGCGTTGTTGAAATGATATAAAAGAATAACAAAAACAAATTTAATAGTAAGTTGTTGTGGTTTTATAAAAGTCCATACAAAATGCATATCTACCTTCCTTAGACGATGTCTCGTGCTCTAGTGTTTAGAAGTTTTAAGTTTGTGCTGGAAAAAGCTTACTGACCAACATCACCACCACCATTATCAAACACCACACTTTAACGAACCACATTTGCACTTGGACACCTAAGACATAGACTAACATAGAAACATATGGACTCGCAACGCTCACATAAGTATACGTTTTATATATGTGTGTATGTGTGTTGGTATGAAACTCTAAAACTTGGAAAAAATAAGGACAACCACAAAAAAAAACTAATGTTACCATGTGGGATTATAAAGCGACGTAATGCATTGCATTTTTATGTTATAACTTTAATAAGTTTGTATGTATGTTTGCTGGTCTATATATACATAAATATATCGTCACAAGAAATGAAAATGGGCCTAAAACCAAAATATTTTTTTTATTGAAAATGGTCTATTGCATATTTATAACACCAATACTTTTCATTTTATTTAGTTTTTTGTCTCTGATGAAAATTTTTGAAAAGGGGTTTTACGTCGTTTTGCATTTTAGGTGACGATTGTTATAAGGGATGTGCTGATATCATGTTTAACACATTTTGTTGTTCACCAAGCGTACAAAATTTTATTAAACTTAAAAAATAGGTGACGAATACTGTGTTTCGGTTTCAAGCCAAGAAGACATAAATTTAGAATATTTTTTACCAAAAATTACTAGTCGATAAAATATTCAGATAGAAAATTGTTTAAACCCTTGAGTTTTCTCAACAATTTGAAAAATTTTTCTCCAAATACATATGTATGTATATTCTAACTTAGATACATTTTTATTTTAAGCTATAAAAGGATACAAATAATATCGACCACGTGACACTGTTTAAACCCTTGAGTTTTCTCAACAATTTGAAAAATTTTTCTCCAAATACATATGTATGTATATTCTAACTTAGATAAATTTTTATTTTAAGCTATAAAAGGATACAAATAATATCGACCACGTGACACTATCACTACAAAATGCAGTGTCATTCTTGTTTATTCATGTATTCATTCTATCATACACTTTGCCGTTAAGCAGATTTGAAAGTTTGTATTTTTTTAAATACATATACGAGAGCCACGCAATAATTTCTTTAAATTAAATTAATGCAAATGTCCAACAGAATTCTAGATGGATGCAGCGTCTTAGATCTTGACGATATTGAAAGTAACAAAAAAAGATGAATTGTAATATACAAAGTAATGACATGAAGTACGAACTTACAAGGTTGAGCACGGGACTTAACTAAAAGTGACATAGGGATAAAACCTCATATTTAATTATTTTTACGTGCTTTTATTTAATTTGCTTTATTAGATTGTTGGTAATACAAAGTTATGCTGGAAAAATCGAAATTAAATTCGAAAGTTCGGAGTTATGTTAGTAAGTATGTATGTTGTAGAAAATTTTAACTGAATTTATAAATCACTTCCTGTAGCTCAAATATGCTAAAATTTTTACTGTGTGGCCTTCGGTAGGTTAGTGGTTAGTGTTCTAGTCCGGTAGACCAGAGGTGGTGAGTTCGATTCTCACCTAAGGCACTGGTAAAGGAGCGCACAACATTCAAAATAGGGGCCTAGTTGTATTTCTTTGATATATTTATATATCCTTTCAAACTAACTAACTAACTAACAAATTTTATAATACTTAAAAACTTTTCTTGAATTGGATGGAGCCCACATTAGATCTTGAGTTTTTGCAAGTCGAATTCACAATTTCAAACATTTGGTACTCGATTTTCATCCAAAGACTCTTAGTGTTATCCTCGTTTTGTTTGTACATATTTATACACATTTAGAAATATATAGAAAGATACACAAACTCATATAATTTAGACATATGGGTCATTCATATTACGCAAAAGAAAAGTTTGAGATTTTATACATCCCTATAAGAGAATCACCCATTTTGGCGTAGTTCATTTAGATAGTTTCTTTCAAAACCAAACTAAATATAGTAGTAGCGTCATGCCAAAACTAAGTTTATGTGTTTATTGTACCATGGAGAAGAGAAAATAAAAACTAGTGCAACAACAAAAAAAAGAAAGAAATCCCTGACTGTGATTGTAAGACGCTTATTGTGGATTTTTCTGTAATTTTATCTTTTTCCTAGTATATTTTACTTTTTTATCAACGTAGGTATCCTTGCACAAGTTTTTTACTTAATTCCAGGTTTACGTGCGGTCAGTACTGTTGAAAACTTGTGGCCAAAGTCTCTGCATCAAAGTTGGTGCTACAAAAATTGAGTAAAATCATAACAGTGAGGGCTTAAAATAGCTTACGTTACACTAATGGAGGAAATTTAAAATATGACTTCAAATTATATAGAATTATTAAAAACCCTAAAGCAGACTAATATTTTAAAGAGACTAATTTGTTTAAGATTTAAATTTCATAATTAGATTAAATTAAGTATCCACTGTATCATATATTGTATATACGCACTCATTATGATAGTGTCATCATAGTAAACTGACATAAGGCATAGAAGGATAGTTCGTTTAAAAACCCATGAATGGTGCGGGTAAGATAATTTATTATTACAGCTCAATTTTATAGTTAAGAACACAAACCTAACAGAAAACTAATCACCATCAAACCAAACATATTAATTAAAAAAATTAATAACTTTAATGTTTTGTGAAAGATGCGTTTTGAATTCTTATTGAGTTTAAAATAATTCTTTCATAAGACATTTCTAGTTTTCCTAAAATATTGGGAAAGGTTTCCTGATGAGCTGGCTTAAGCAACCGGCGAAATGCGCATAGGAACTAGCTTCCCCACCATCAATACATTACAGTGAATTTATTTAAAAATTGGGGTTGAAAGCACGATAAGAAACTCTTTAACTTATTTGAAAAAAAATATTGTTTAAATACGATTTTTTTTTTCTATTTGCTACTTACCGCCACAGTTAAATTATTGCCAATTTGAACATCAACAATATCCTTGTGAGACAAATCATATTTTAAGCCATTCACATCCTCAATATTATGTGAAAATTCATTGCCCAAGTTGTCATGCAATGATACTTTCAATACGAAATTCATGCCACGTGGTATTTTCTCTTCGGTCTGTTTCATTTTTAATGTTGGATACTCCAATGAGGCCAAAATATATTGTACATTTTTAACTTCAATACCAATAGCTAAAGTTTGATCAAAAGTTTTTGCCTTAAAGAAATGGGGAAAAAAGAAGTTAGTTGGTGAATATGTGTGTTTGCTAAAACTTATTGAATACGTACAATAACTAAATCTCTGCCCAAAATCTCTTGAGTGCGTACAATGCCATCTGGTGTCACTTTAACAATTGAATTACTGTCACTCGATAGGCGGTATAGAACATCTTCCAAATTAGCTTTTAACTGTATGGAACTACGTGGCGCCAATAAAATACTGTCGGTTGATATACGCTTGGGATGTTCCAATTCCAATGTTTTAAAAACTAATAAAATGTGTTGGAAATTCAATTAAAGAAATAATAATTTATTAAGTTTTTCACTACACTTACCAACAACTTCTACAAATGAAGAGATTTTTTGTCCACCTGGTAATTGAACTGTAGCTTGAATTTTAGCTTTTCCTGGATTTAAAGCCTTAATGCGCACAGAAATTAAATCAGTGTCTGAATATTCAATACCTTAAAAGAGAATTAAAAAAATGAGTAATTTAAAAGACGGTAATATAAGAAATAAAATGCATTTATAAAAGATGTGTAGAATGAAGTGTTTTAAACTTATTTCAACGTGCTCATAAAAACATAACATAATCAATTATTGAAATAATATTCATGCTTTATTATTTTTTTAATAATAATTTTATTTTTAATTGGTGTTTTTGAACTCAAAATTAGTCTTGCAGGACAGAAGAATAAAATAATTCTATGTTCATTTTTAATTTTATTAAAATTAAAAATTAACATTTTTAATTGATGTCCTATTATACCGCAAGATTTTCCAGGACCGCAAATCAAAATCTTAATCCTTACATTTTCAAGTCATATTAGAATAATATTAGCTTTAAAAAATTTTTAAAAGTTAATTATAAAATAGTTAAGATTCGAAAGAAACAATTTTCGAATTTGTATGTTAAGTACATTGTGTTTCAAAATCTTTTTCTTTCGAATCGAAATACGGAATAAAGTTGTCATAAAATCGTTACGTCATTTGTTATAGGTTAATTTCGCTACTATTTTAAATACTTTGACATAAACCTTTGTTTTATAATTGTATGTTCCGTATCTGTTCCTGAATTGTAACTCAAACATTCAAGCTCATCAAAGAACATTTGCTATATGAACATTTTGTGAGCACTAACGGATTATCTAACCGAATATAGTGCAGTATCATAGTTCAAAATAGTTAGATGTCATAAATCTTTCAAAAAAGGTTTTCTGATTGAATGGAATTTATGCTTGAACCAAAGTTCATGACCTTAATTTTAATATGTTATCGCAGCCATATTCACGTAACTATGTTCTGTTGATTTTAATAAAAAAATAACTAAAAATTGTCTCAAAATCTTAACATAATTTGTTATAGGTTAATTTCGGATCTATTTTAAATAGTACAATGACATAAACCTTTGTTTTAGACTTGTAAGTTCCGTATCTGTTCCTGAATTGTAACTCAACCATTCAAGCTCATCGAAGAACATTTGTTATATGAACATTTTGTGAGCACTAACGGATTGTCTAACCGAATGTAGTGCAGTATCATAGTTCAAAACATAAATTATAAAATTATTTCTATACAAAAAAACTCTTACCAGCATCAGCAAAAATATTATAAATATTTACAACATCCGGTTGATTTGTAGACCAAACAATATGCATGTTAGCCAATGTACCCAATACCATGGGCGATAAATCAGGAACACCTAATATAAAGAAACAGTTATTTAACATGATAGACCTAATAAATTATAAATTCGTTCATTTCTTACCCCAAATAGAAGCTGGCATTACAGCACCACTACGTATTCTAATAAGTGGAGTTTTAATTTGTATATTCATCAATGGCACAACATGTACCTCAATAGTGTCTTCTGATATCACAACTTCTTGGCCATTGATGGGATTTTTCATAATACATTTTCCAGTGATTTTAGTTTCACCCAGTTTATTTGCAGTGACAATTGCCGACTCCATAGCTGCATGTCAAATATTACAGTTAAATTAAGAATATATAAAAAATATGTATTAACTTACTGATGATCTTTTTATCGTGGACATAATAAACAATATTAACGTCAGGCTGGGGACCACCATGGTAAAAGATTTGTACACTTGAACCCACTACTAAAGTTGAATTGCGTGGATATAAGCGCAAAGGTGGAAATACCTAAAAGAGTTCGATAACGTTATTAAGTTTGCTTTTTATAAAGTGAAATTTTAATTTTTATACCTGCACATTGATAGGTTCACTAGATACCAGTAAATCTCCACTACCAGCATTAAAAGCTATTTTAGTTTCACCTAAATTATTACCGGTAATAACATATCTACAATAATAATGTTAATATTATTAGCTGTTATCGGTATTACGAGTATATATTTTGTCATACCTTATTTCACCAACATCTAAATCGAATTGATCGCCTAATTGTATGCTTAATATATTTGCATTAAATACTTCTTCCGACAACTCATAAATGTGCAAATTAAAGGGATCAATATGCATCAAATTATCATGGGAATCATACAGTTTAACAATAGCCTCAATAGATTTTGTACGTTCTACACGATCTGCAGCTTCAACACGAATGGCGCCAATACTAACAACTGAAATCGACAAGTGTGCAGGTTCATTCATTAAGCAACGATCAATGAGTTCTAGGCGAGTCTATAGAAAAATAGAGCAATTAAATTTGTTTGCTTATAATAGAAATTAAAAATTCTTACATGACCAATTCGCAGAGGAGTAACAATCAATTCCTTTTCTTTGTTATCAAATTCGACCTTTACAATACCAGCTTCTGACAGTTGGAAATCATAAAAACCACTGCCCTGGGACATAGGTATACGTTCGCGTCTATTTTTGGCCAAAAATATGCTAATGTGATCAGAGGGGAAGAATGTACTGTTAACAGTCATAAAACGTATTTCATTTTCTATTACAGGTGTAAAAACTTCTCCAGTTTTTGGCTGAAATGTAAAACAATTTTGTGTTAATAACTTTTGCCAATAAACTTAAACTCAAATTCACTTACATTCTTAATGCCGAAAGGTGGTTCTTCAGGGTAAATATCTTGTTTTCTCAATACACGTTCATCGTATTTGGTGACTACACCTTTTATACGGAAATTTTGTGTCACTTCGCCGAGTGTAGTAACAAGAAGATCTTTGCCTGGCAAACGTACACCTTCTAGCAATTCTTGCTCTGATTGACGATTATAAGTTATAGCACCACTCTGATAACGCTGATCACCAGCAGCAAATTCCCAGTCTATAAACAGTGATGATATATTCATCAATTTGCGATTTTTAGCATCCTGTACTTCAATTTCTATTTCGAATTTATCATCGCGATCTTTAAGCTGCAGCAAAGCATTTTTCATTTCCATCGGGCACGAAGAACGCATTTGTTCCGTGGTGTACAAATTCAAGAAGCGTGGCTTAACGCAATAAACATTAGTGACTATTGTCGACACATACGGTTGAAAGTTGGGCGCTAGTAAGGCATTGAACACATTGAATGTCACAGCAGTTTCACCAATTTCTCGGCACAAAACGCTAAAGGCGTATAAATTATTTTGAGTGTCAAATTCAATTTCCGACACACGAGCGATATTGTAGTCATACTCCGTACCCTTAGTTAACTCAGCTTCCAATGTGTATATTTTTTGTGGACCATTGGAATAGATAACGTTACGTGAAGCGCCAATTGGCAAAACAACATGATTTTCAATGGGATTTAGAATAGTCAATGGCTCGAAAACACTGAGTGTAACTTCGTCCTTTAAAACTTTATCTTGGAACTTGTAAGACAACCTCAGATGTGATAGACCTACGGCAGTACTGCGCAAGTGTACTACTTGACAAGCATCAGGAGCCATTTCAACATCAACATTATTGTAGTCAACTTGAAAGATTTGGTTGGAAAATTCAAAATCAAAGATCAGATTTTCACATTTTGTAAATGGCATCAGTGTTTTGTTGACATACGCATACACGGCCACATGAAGATGTACATAGTCTTTAAGGGCAGTTTCAAAATTATATTTCAAAATTTCCAATTTCACAGGGGGCACAAAGTAAATATCTGCCTGGCGAGTTATTTTTTGGTTTTTAGCAAGAGCAACTTTAACGTGACCATGGGCTGTCAGCAGAGATCCAGTAGACGTGTCGAAAGTGTCTAAATTATATCTGGCTTCGGTATCACGTATCACAGTTGTGGCCAAACCATTTTGATTTATATGCAAGAGACGTGGTTGCTGAGACTTCCAAATATAGGAACCGTCACCGCCTTGTGCATGAAATTGTATTTTTTGTGTTTTGATTACATTCGGATCGAATGGCAAAATAACTTTACTGGGTTTCAAAGTTAATTCACTGAAGATTTGTAATTCAGCTTGAGCAGTTAACTATATAAATCATAATGTGTGTTAAGGGTTTTATGTAAGTTACAAAATATTTCATTAAATGTACTTACATCTTTAAATGTACCATACACTGGAGTTGTACCTTCTCTAATTGCTTCACCATTTATACGAGAACCATTTTTACTTCGTTTATGAACTAAGAAAAGCATTTCATCTAGCTCGGAATTTACCGAGAAACGAGAACCCAAAGTAATTTTATGATCATCACTAAAATAAAGTATGGAAACATTATTTTGGGAATTGGAAATATTTATTAAACATTGCTGCAATACACAGCTATGTACTTAAACCCAGCCTACTATTTAAAAGTTTAAGCAAATTATGCACTTACTGTGTGTACAAGTCAACAGCAATCTCATGTTTTTCTCCCTCAACTGTAATCCAATTATTATACGGCAACAGACTAAGACCAAGTTTTTTCGGATTTGCCACAGTAATCCTGGCACTGGGTACAGACGATTTTGTAAGTTCATTGCCAGCAGCGAAGCTTCCCTCGTTTGGAACATTGCGATCACGTAAAACAACCATTGTACGGCCTACTTTAAGGCCAGTTCCAGTGGTACCCTTAATACTAGCCACATTACCATCATCAATTTCCAAAAAGTATTGATTGTTGAGAGAGATCTCTTGTAATCGGCCCATTTTCAATTGTAATATGCGGAAGTTAACCGTATCTCCAGGTAATATATAGACATCGGAGGGTTCTAAAATAATATTGGCCAAGACATTGATGTAAACTTGCAGCGGTTGAACATGACTGTATTCCGGATAAAGCATATTGACTGTAACCTAAGAACAAAAAAAAAATAATTTCAAGGAATATGAAATATAATTCTATAATACATACCTTGGCTGTGCCAGTATTAATACCCTCCAATAATACCATGTAACCTTTAAGACCTTGAGCTTCAAATTTCTCCAAGGCTTCTGGCACCTCATGGTATGAACTTTCAGTAAATGTTAAAAATCTTAAAGCTGGCGACCAATCCTTGTTATCTTTATTCAAAGAAGAAATAGCCCAATTAAATTCAACACCTTCGAGTGTTGTGAAAGCGTTTCCCTGAGAATCTTCTGCATGTATAACAAATGTTTCCGGAGCCTCCTCTAAGTAGAGCTGTCTTGTAGTAGTAATGACGCTTAGCTTGTCAATGACATCCAAAATGACATCACAACGTAGCGACTCTCCACTGGCAACATCTTCGGCCAGCACTATGGCAGTATTGCGTCTACGTTCACGTGATAGCACAGTGACTGTAGCTTTATGCGTGCATTCATTTTCAGCATCATCATAAAGGGGAGTTATTAGAATTAAGTCTTGGCGCGATGATGTCCTGTAAAAAACATAAACAACTTTAATTACAACAAATCCATTTTTAAGGTTAAGATCAATGAAGCGCCAAAACTGAAATTCCCTTCAGCTGCTCATGTTGGTAGGTTGATTGGCCTTCATTGTGTTTGAGTAGCCGGTATAAACAACAACAAAAATAACGAACGCTGTTGTAATAACAACAGTTGTGCAAAACATTTGAGCGAAATCATACCATTTAAAACATCCTTTTTCTTTTACTTCAAGAGTGAAGTTTATTGAAATTTTATCAAAAATTGGAAGTAACACTCTTGGATAATTTAATTTTGTTGCTTCAGTGCATTTTAAAGCACAAAAAATTAATAAAAATAGACACAAACTTATTTTAATTTTCTCCATTTTAGCACGTTGTGTCAATGTGAATAAAAGAAGAACTGACAAACAAAAAATCGTGCGAATAAACCTGCGCCGGCAAACATTAACAACGGCGGTGTCTAACACTAAAAATTTCAGCGACGGCTGAAAGTCATCGATAGCCGTCTAAGTTTTTTTTAATTTAAAACGATATTGTATAATAGCGGAATCCTAGTGATTAAAATGCGGGAAGAATATACTTTAAAAAGATCGGGCTTTTTTACCATTTTTATATAATAAATTTAAAAATCAATCCAATACTATGCTGCGTCGAATTTTAGATAATTTTTTACAAATTCTTAAACTTAGAAAGACAGCGTTTTTTCAACAATTAACAGCGAAGTGCTGTGATATTTTTTACTGTGATAATTTTTGCTATCACACCTGCATATGTTTTTCCGTATAGCATAACCTATAAATGTAATCAAAGCTGTCTTTTTTTTTTTTTTTTTTTTGTGCACATTTTTAAAATTGAAAAATACTTACTTTTCATGTTCATTATTCATTTTCTTTAATTTATTTTTTTCAAAAAAATGTATTTCAAAACAAAACAGCTGTTTTGTTTATGTTTGTCACACGAAAATAGAGCACGCTCTAATCAAAAAAATTACATACATATGTATGTATGTATTTCCACATGTATTTTACACATGCAATGTTTCATATGTATCAGACGATATGTAGAACTTTTACTGATGGAAATTTTGACAGTACATAAAATACGCGCCGTCTAATACCACCTTAAGCATATAAATCCGAAAAAATAAAATTTTGAGTTGAGTCACTTTTAAACTGGGTGTGCGGAATATTTGTCAGTCCTCCACCATAGCACATTTCCTTTCATTGATTCTTCTCATGATCAGTCTACAAATAACTTCTATAAAATGCAGCGAGGAATAATTTTGAAATCAGTGGGGGTATCTAAAAGTTAATTAACATAGAAGTGCAATGGGTAACTGAAAAATATAAGTACACCTTAGAAATGATTATATGTATGTATTTTTATGAATTATTTTATTAATGTTCAAAAAAAATGGGAAAGCTTTACGAAACCATAAATGTATTCTTCAGTTATATCATGCACTATAATGTTTTTTCTCTTTTGCTGCAACAATTTTTAGACTTTGACTGTTCAATTGAAAAAAATAACTTAAAAACTCAAAAAGAAACGTTGTTAGCCGAGACTACATTTTTAAATACAACAAGTTAAAGAATTATCAATTTCAGAATGTTTTTATATATTCTTTATACACACTTCTTAATACTGTTTGTATAATAGTACAATTATCTAGTCCAAACAAAATTTGTATTTTTTTTTTTTTTTCAAAAATATTAGGGATTTTTTTGGCATACCGTTGGTATTCATATTTATTTTCTTAAACAATTCAAAAATATTTTGTTTCCAAACGAATTTGTTATGCCATGCCGAAACGTTGGGACTATGGGAACTGGTGCAAACTTTAGTTATAAATGTTTAAACTTACTAACAAACTTACAAAAAAATTAAAATTTAATTTTTATAATAGATCAACTAATTTGGTCCTTAAATGGCGTGATCTTTGAGTTTAATTTAAATTACTATAGGATTTACTATATTTCTAATGTGTATTTTTATATTTCACTTTTGTTATATTATTTAAATATAATTAGAATATGAATGCAAAGCCTCAAACTATCTCTTAATAAGAAGTAACATTTGTCGTTAAATTATATAATAATCATTCTTGTTTATATTATTCTTACCACCACTGTATATTTTTATAGAAAACAGAAACTCTTTGGAGGAGCGTAGCCAGATTTCTAAATCTTATAGCTTAAAATGAAAAGTTGTGTAAATTAAAAAAAAAATGTAAGAAGTCTTGGTAACTCTGAACTATTTGACAACTATTTCTTTTGTTTTGTTTTGTGAACGAAGTTTTTGCTGCAAATTATCTTAAAATACCACAATCTTTCTATTAAAAAACAAATTGTAATTGAAAGGCAGAAATAATGTCTAGTAGTGAGACTGAAAATACTGATAGAGATGAAAATAAACCATCCAAGGCAATGAAACTTAATATTAAAAACATTCAAGAAGTAAAAGAAATGCAGACTGAAAATCTCTATGAGTACATAGACGATCTTCATGCCCTGGTGAAAAAACAAGACAAAAAGTTAAAAAAGTACAAAAATAAAATCAATAAATTGGTGAGATTAATTAGTAAGGTTATTATTCAGATACAAGTTATTTATTTATGTACATTTTTGAATTTAGACTAAGGAAATCGACAGATTAAAGGGATCTCGTAAAGACGACCATTTTTCACCTGATGCACAAAGAGAAAATACTGCTGCTTCTGAGGATAAATCGAAAGGTTTACCGGTAGTCATAAATAAGGATAATGAGTCGAAAGAAGATGAAAGCGGTAAGTTATTTCAATTTCCTGATAATATTCGAAAAAAATCCTTATGTACAAACACTACATATTTGTATATATAACTCTTGTATGTGCCAAATGTCCACTACTTTTTATTTTCCTAATATTGTATCAACAACGAATATCGAAAACTTCTATTAATCAGAAAAATGTTCAATTTATAAAATTTATTGATTGTAAAAACAAGCCAGTGTGAATTTTAGAGAAAATAAATTGGGGTTTTTACTTCAATATGACTTTAAGTAACAGATCATCTGGATAGTTCTGGACGTAAATACAAACATGGTTCTTGTTAATACAAAAGAACCATTTTTAATATCCGAATTATACACTGGCCTTACTGTTTGATGGTTTTTATGGGGACAACCTCCGCAACGAGCAATTTGTGTCATTGAATTACTTTTATTAAAAAATCCATATTTTATTTCTTTTAATCGCACAAATTACTTTTTTAGAGCCATTTTTTGCAAAAATGTTCACTTCCAGGCGAACAATCATAAATAACTTACATAGCTACATATGTACATATGGGCAATTCCATGAAAAGGTAAACCGAAACAGTAAAAATAAAACCCTTAAAGCTTGCTTTTTGAAGTTAGTGTAACAAAATTTGGTTTATGATCTGTTGTTGTTCCAACGACTAATGCTGTTAAACATTTTTGAAATCGGTACTAGCCGCCATACAAACGGACGCGTAAATATCGCTTTTTTGCTCATAATTCTGGTAATTATAATACTATCTCTTCAAAAATCGACAGACCCTAATTCCAAAGTTTAATTTTAGAAAAACACTTAAACGTCCATACCATACTTATAAGCACTAGTATTATGATAGTTTTTAAATAAGTTTTATGTGAACATAAATCCCACACCAACATTTTATGTGGATCGGTCCATATTTCACCCATCACCGTCAAATTATCAGTTTATATTTAAAAACAGATGGACAGACTCAGAAAGTTATTCTCTGCCGAACTTTAAGGTGGGTATAGGATCAATATTTTTAGACGTTGCAATTATCAGCACAAACGCCATTATAAAACTCTGTAAAATTTAATATCATATTTTCAGAGATGGATTTTAGCTTTGTTCCTTTACTTGTCAAGTTTGCAGGTTTTTACCAGAAATCGTAAAAGAGAACAAATTTGAGCAATTAATATTAGTTGTGTTTTGTTGCTAACGTTTAAAGGCAATTTCATATAAATTTAAAATTTATAAACGTTAGGAGTTAACGTGTAAAATTATACAAGTTAATTTTAACGTTGATAAAAGTGCTACCAATTCAAAAATACAAATATTAATGTGTTTATGTCAAACAATAAAAAAATATTTTAAAATAAAATTTAAATCAAAGAAAATTACCAAATAAAAAAACCTTTTCAAGAAATTGTAAATAATTTCAAAATTTAGCAGATTTCTTCTGTGGAGTGATGCCAAGTCAGGTAATGTTCGTTTTGTTGCTAACTTTAAGCGTTAACACTCATTGATAGCAACAAAACACAACTATTATTTTCTCTTTGCCAGAACTTGCAGGTTTTAGCCAGAACATTTTTTCCTGGCAAATAGAAAACAAATTGTCAAATAAATTATTTGTTTAAAAAAATACATTGAAAACAAAAAATGTTTGATATTTTTGATTTATTTTCATAAATAAGTATGTGTGATTGTAGTCTTTCAATTTTATTTTAATTTCAATAGAAATTTATATGAAAAAACTTCAATACAAATTTATTGAAAGAGAAATTTTGTTTTTTCTGTTCCCGTACTTTTTATAAGTACGAAGAGAAAATTCATTAATTCTCTTTAGCCAGAAAAGTTCTGGAACAAAGTTAATATAATATAACATGTGTACAGCTAGATTCAATAAATTGAAAAAAGTACAATCTTTTGAATTACTACTACTTCCACGCTCCCTTACAAATAGGGCGTTAAAGATATACTTGCAATTTTTCTTACAAAGAAGTTGTTTACAAAGATGTAGTAGTAGTCATTGAAAAGTAAGTGGTTATGTAAGTACAACCCATTACCGCGCTTTTACTTAAATATTTATTGAAATCAAAATGTTTTTGTCAAATTGCCCTAATAATTGACCCTACCCCCATATAAAGATCCCATCATAAAATTACTTTAACGCTCATAACTTGCATCTTACTGACAGTAAAGCTACAAAATTCGACATAAACATTTCGATCGGAACTAAAATCTTTCTCAAAAAATAATAATCCCAATAACAGGCTTAAAATCCAAGAAAAATAAGTTTTATTGGAACTAAGATCTCTTTGTCCCCCTCAGAAAATTACTTATTTTCAAAGTAACCAAAATATTTCTCAAATTTTTTGAGGATTTGTTCATGTATTATGATAACATGCTACTATCAGGTCAGGGCATTACTACTGTTTATGTAGGAAACTAAAATTTAAAATAAATGAGTAAACTATGGAAGCAAATAACAAAAAAATAGATACATACATATAAGTTTTGTTCCTTTACTTGTCAAGTTTTCAGGCATAGAAAAGGTATACATAGAACTGAAACTGAGTATGACAAAACCTAAGTCTGCTGTCAAAAACCTAAGTCGTGAGAATGTATTAGTTGAAAAATATGTAACCCAA